AAAAAAAAGCAAAACTTCCCTAAAAATGACCCGATCATGCTGATTTTCAAACTTGACCTGCGTATTATACAAATTCATCAGTTCTGTAAGTTTCAAACCAAAAGGTAAAACGGTTTTCCACTTATCGTGTTTACGGTGTTGCATATATGCTGAAAAAAGTGAAAAAACAGCATAACTTCCCTAAAAATGGCCCGATCATGCTGATTTTCGAACTTGACCTGAATATTATGAATATTCATCAGTTCTGTAAGTTTCAAGTCAAAACGTAAAATGGTTTTCCACTTATCGTGTTTACGGTAAAAGTGCACGCCAACGGCAACGGCAACGGCAACGGCAACGGCGACGACAGACGCAGGTGACGGCTATATGTACAGACACATCTGTGTCTGTACATAAAAATCAACCAGAATATGCTAACTTATATTGGCCATTAATTTAACAACAATGCCTCCTCGTACAATCATTCCACTGATGTAAATAAGGAAGCCTCATCATCTTGCCTTTTGTTGTCAATTAAACCAATGACCCAGACTTTCTACCTAAGCCACTTGGTGGTTAAATAAGTTCTGAACCTGCCTTGAAATTGTGCCTACCCACCTGTAACACACATTTACAACATCTCGCACTTTAAGGTGCTGTTCTTCAACCTTGCCAGCAAGATAGATGGCAGCAGTTGCTATGAGCTACAAGATAATAAAACCCCACACATAAAATGTAAGGCAAACAACATGTAAAACACAATTAAAAAATTTCAACAAAGATATAACTCTTAAACTACCAAGGAAGACAAATTAATATCAAACAGCTGTTTAAGAAATTTTTGGTCTGTTACATAAAAATAATTATTAAAACAATATCAGGTTTACAAACAGGTAATTAATCAAATAAATAACTGCAGAAACAAATACTAATACTACATGTAAGCATGCAGATCATCTGAACAGACTATAATACTGAGGATAAACTGTTAAACCTGCTAGCCAGACTAAAACTCAGAGATAATTTCTAATTAAGATACATATTATCTAATTAAGATACATATTCACTCACATAAGGGTCATACTCATCCAGACTGCAATTTTGAAAGAACTTATGGTACAATATTGAAGCTGTGGCAAGTGTCACCGAACGCAGATGAAGCTTTAGACCTAAAATTTACAAAAGGTTTTACCATTTAACAAAGATTCAAAGAATACTTTTATAATACTGTGGACAGCCTTATGTTATATATATTTCTTTTTTTTATGTAACAAGATAATATAAATAAAAAATTTTACCAGGGGAAGATGCCTTTCACAGCCCCCTTATAACACATTGCTAGCATCTCAGCATTACCATTTATGAAAATTCATCTGTTTATAGTACTACATACTAGTAGAAACTTTTCATCTGGGCATGAAAGGAAATATTTATCAATCATTCACATCAGAAACCTGATTCCCAATCTTACCACATTCCATTACAAACTGCATAATTTTGAAATGTTTCCGTGCAGTAGCCTGGTCTGCCTCCAATTCATCTCCACTATTGGCCATTTTGTAGTCTTGAAATTATTGAAAAATCATCGGCGATTTATCTAGAGAAAAATGGATAACCAAGAATTTTGATTCATATCTAAATTACAACATAAAAACTGATATGAATAGGGAAGTGATGGACACTAAAATATTTATACAGTAAATGATAGTGAATTTGCTTTAAAAAGCTTGAAATTGTCATCATAGCCTATGTCGCTGGCCTAGATAGTAGGCATACGTTTTAAACTCTACCATCATATTATTTCATATGATAAGAAATTCCTTAACTGAACAACAAGAATAAATATGTGATATTTTGAAAATAAAAGACGAAACCATGATCATGTTATCAGAAAAATGAAAGTAAACTAAAAGTAACGTACAATTAATACCAAATGCATTACGAAAAAATATAACGCCGGCAAAATAATGCGCAAGGCATGCATTTTCAATACAAACACTTTTATCGAATTTTCAGTTGAATACCAAAACATACCATGCTACGTTTGTCCACAGAACAGCGTATTCAACTGAGCAACAAAAGTCGGTATTTCTGCATGGAGGCAGCCATTTTAGGCTGAAAACGAGGCCGCGCATGAGCAACAATGCTTTTAACCGCCATCATTTGAAAGGTGGTTTTCTTGACTTACTGTGTTTCCAAGGAAAATAAACAGTGATATCAGGGTGGAATCTTTGCAGAATTGCCCTCAACGATGGCAACTGTTTTGGTAAGTAACATGAGCTATAACCATTGCATTTGAAGTGGGCAAATGCCTGTTATATGTCCATCAGTGGCACCTCTCTCCATTGGCTTTCTTTGATATTATTGTGTATGAGCAGAGGAGAGGGGAGATCTCATATCATCAAACATCAAAGGTTGCTCTATCTTGTTACTAGTAATTGAAATAAACATGGGCACTACCTTTGCTTACCTTGAGAGGTAAGTTGAATCCTTCCAACTATATTGGCTGCTTTTGTTGATTACTAGTAGTAGTAGTGGTTTTGTCAGATTGGGACCCATCTTAGAAAATTCTTTGGATTTCGTACAAGAATGATGTTGAATTGTCTTACACTTACTCTGTTTTCTTCAGGAGGATCCCACCCTGGAGCGCCATTTCAAGGGCCACAGGGACACTGTGACCAGTGTGGACTTCAATCCAAATATGAAACAACTAGGTCAGTAAATAGCACAATATGTTATGGACTCTAGACTATTTGAGTAAAGGTTTCTGTGACTTCTGGCACTCAGAGACTCAAACTCAGTTTAATAATTATATAGTACCTCTTGCCCATGCCAGTGCTTATCTAGCCTATTACCTTTTTATTGGTTAAAAAAATGAGAAACCATTCTGATATGGTGTATATATACTTTTGTGTCCTTCCAGCATCGGGTTCCATGGACTCTTGTCTCATGGTGTGGAACTTCAAGCCACAGATGAGAGCATACAGATTTGTAGGACATAAGGTAGGTGCTGTGAATAAGGTAGGTTCTGTACTGTCCAGAGGATAACAGTCTTATCCAAAGGATAGTGTTATCCATAGGATAGCGCTATGCAGTGTTGATGAATCCTGGCCCTGGAGATTTTGTCATTCCCTATGTTAGCAGCTGATATCATAGAATAATGGGAATTATTTTCGTTGATCTCCAATTGTTATGATTATTCTTTTTTCAGTTGCAAAAGAAAAACAAATCTGGCCTACACTGTCCTGCATGCTCATGCTGACATTTCTCATTGTCCAGTCTGTATATTAATGTGACTGTGTTTAATTTGTGTTCCAGGATGCTGTACTTGATGTTTGTTTCTCTCCGTCTGGGCACCTGGTCTCCTCCGCCTCCAGGGATAAGACTGTCAGGCTCTGGATCCCCAGTGTGTAAGTGGAGGCCACACATCAGGACTTCCCTAGTCTATTTTATAGAACAATTAAAAACAACATCTACTGTCAGGACCTGCCTACTCTATTTCATATAGCAATTAAATGCCACATCTTGCTTCTAGATAATATTGTCCATTTTAACTTTGATAACAGGATAAAAGTTGCCTTTGTTAATAATTTTTATGGGTTCTACTCAAACGTATTTTACAAAAGTCTTTCTGAACAGTTATATATAGCAATGTTGACATCTACACTATATTAATGTCATAGGACCCATGTGAGATGAGGACCTTCTAGTATTTGAATGTTATGTCCGTATGTATCATTACAGTTACTGAAAATGAAAACTGAAATTTCTTGCTAACATATTGTGTTATTGCATGTTTATTTCCTCCTGTCCACATTCTGTTTAATCATTGTGAGTTAATCAAATTCCCAGCTTGTTTTTTCTCAATATAAATAATATCAAGACCCACATTGCCTTCTAGGAAAGGAGAGTCTACAGTTTTCAAGGCACACACAGCCACAGTGAGGAGCGTGGACTTCTCTAGTGATGGCCAGTCTCTTTGTACAGCCTCAGATGATAAAACAGTCAAGGTAAAGGGGGGCTTGGGTAGCGCTAGCACTCGCCAATTTAGCCAAATGCTAAAACTGACTTAATTTGGCTAAACAAAAAGGGTGATTTGGCTAAGCGAAAAAAAATTGCTAGCGCTACCCCAGGGGGTGTCTGTATAGGAGTGGTTTGAGGAGGGGGTGGGGGGAGTGTTTAACTATATAAATTTTGTAACTTTTTTTTCATAAAAGCTGAATACCGCGATGTTTGATTGTTTCAGAAATTAAGAAAAAAAAAGAGGTTTACAACTTGTACTGAGTAATTCGTGAATTTTCAATGTTGAAAATTAAATTAAAGACTTGCTAAGCATTTGGTTCAATATAATAATAGCATAAAGAGCTTAGAAATTACTTTTCTTTACTTTGAGATAAGATGTGTAAGTTTTTTATTTTTGATTGACTGTTGATTTTATTTATTTTCCAGGTGTGGACTGTTCACAGGCAGAAGTTCTTGTTTTCATTGAACCAGCACATGAATTGGGTCAGATGTGCAAGGTAATTGTGATCTCACACAACACAATCTTTCCTCTCACCTAACACAATCTCTGTCTCATCTTGCTTTTCTCCACATACTACAGTCTTGCTGCAGATTATCATTTCTGTTATTCTATTTTAGGTCGTTATCAGGAAAAATACACTTTAAAATTAGATCTTCTCTGGGATAGTATATGGGGCATCTTGATCACCCTTCCATCAAAATTTCTGCACAGAATTCGACTTTCAACTGCACACCTTCTTAAATCATGAAAAGGTATAAAATTGGAATGAGTAAAAGTATGTTTTTAATACACTGCACTCTACTACGTTCCAGTGTGTTTTACAATGACCCTTTTGTTAACCCTGTAGATGCTTTCACATCCCAGCTCCTGTATGAGGGTTTGAAAGCTAGCAAACAAACAATATTTTTGACTGCCAGACCAGGAACTTTGCCCCTGTTTTAACCCTACAGTGCTTAGTGCCAAATAAGTAAATGGCCAGTACTGGTATGCCTCCAGAGGTAGTCGAACACATCCTATTTTAGAGACCTACACTGAAGAAGGCCATCCATTCGGTATTATTTGGTATTCAGTGAGTGCGGTATTAAATATATGAATAATTCACCATCTTTTTGCTTTAATATTTGGTTTCTTTGCTGGCAGGTTCTCCCCAGACGGCAGGCTCATAGTGTCTGGCAGTGACGACAAAACAGTCAAATTATGGGACAGGACCAGCAAGGAATGCGTACACACCTTCTTTGAACATGGGGGGTGAGTATGGCTAGAAGGTGGAGACATGAGGATTTTCTGGATATATTTATTTATCCTATTACGTTTGTCTGTTTTTTTTTTTTTTTTTTCAGAATTTATATATTATAGAGTCAATATTTTTATGGAATTTTAAAAAATATTTGTTTTATTATTATTTCTTTTAAATATTTCTATTTGCAAGTTGATATTGAAGAGTCATGTAATTGATAGTCAGCACCTTTCTCACATTATGCAGTCTTTTGTTAGTCCATGTTAGGAGCCCAGTTAGCTTGCTACAAAGCACCAAAGCATAACCTCATTCTCTTCACCAAAAAACTCAAAGACCTGTCTCCTGAATACCAATGACTTCCCATCACATGGGTTCTTGGCTTAATCTCTGTTTCCAATACACAGGTAGTTAAATGTCATCTTGGTCATCAGCTTGGTTGTGTTTCATTAATGCTTGGTATTAAGTTCGACAAATATACAGGCATTTGCGTGTGGAAACAGTGGGTGAGGGGCAGGGAAGGACTCATTTTGTCCCTTGTTCCTTAACTTTGGAAGATCCCTCTGCTCTTTTTCCTTTTCCCCACCCCACCCCAAAAAAAGAAATTGAGACAAAACCAAGCCATTTGCCACCCCTAGGCCCTGCAGGAAATTGTAATGAAACTGTTCTCCTCTGCCAGAATTCTCTGTGCTCAACCCCCCACCCTCCTCCCCACCTTGTGCCTAAGCCAAATTCTGCTTCTGCCCAGGTACACCATACTTCTTGTAGTTGAGCCAATAGTGTGTAGTTTTATCAAAAGCAAGTAGTTCAAGTGACTGTGTGTTAACAAAGCTGTCTTTCTTGTCACAAGGATGAGTGGTAGTCTAACCAAGGAGTCATGTATGAAGCTCCTTGGTCTTACTGATCATGATTGTCTGCTCCATAGGATCACATTACTTGTCGGCTAGGATAACAATTTTACTTTAATGTCCAGAACATTTTGGAGAGATTGATTATTGTAAATGAATCCCTTTTTATCAAGACTGAACCTTGGGTTGTGGTTTAGGTAAATATGTAGACAAAATGAAACAACACTTGACTTTTTAAAGAATAAAATATCTTTATTTTCTGAATGATTCACAGTATTTAGCAAGGCCATCTCAGGAATTTGACTCTTTTTTGTTCAAGTAGTTTAATTTTGATCACACTTTGTAGAGTACAATCAGCACCCTGTAAATGAAAAAGTAATTAAATAACCTAAGATAAAACTTCACAAGACGTCACTTCTTACTGCTGCTGAACAAGGAACAAGGCTTGTAATTTTAACATTTTCATATTTTCAACCAAATACTATAAAACAGACACTCAGCCACAAGAGATTCAATATTACACAGTAAATGTAAGCAGTGTAGTAAGTATTTATATTTCATATATAGGTAAGATATGATTGTGCTTATACGCAATAATCTTCAGATTTCAGGTTATAATCAAAAGCAGTAGCATGGTCTACTTCACCAGTGGAATGCTAGCATATAACTTTATACCAAAGCAATAGAACATATTATAACATAATTATCCTGGCTAGTTACATTTTTACCAGAAGCTGACCCCCCATCCCCCCTCCTTATAGATCTGCTTGCATGCGGTGCTTGCATTTTTGAGAGTTTTTTGAAAGATTCACTTTCATCTGTATACAAACTACATGGTTGCTGGTATTGTGTTATAGCAGTGAGGAGTTCAGTAAATAAATACCTATCACAATTACCTTTATGATGAGCCTTAATAAATGTGAGATATATATTTTAGGTCTCTCTGTCTAATCTTAAGAGATAAGTCTGGAATCACACGATTAACTAGCCCAAGTTTCTGATCCGATTCGACCAGTGCCTACATTTTCAAATTTATATATAAGCCACATTGAAAATTGAGTTATTGGCAGGAATAGGATCTAAGGTTTGGGATTATTACTTTATATAACTCCGCGTACATTGATAATAAGCATAACTGTAAAATAAATGATTCATTCCTTGCTAATATTATTAATATAACTATAGTGATAAATCCCCATTTACAGAATGTGTGCAGTTGAATTCCTTTGATAACTTGGTTTAAAACTTAGATAAAAATAAAGAGCTTTGAACTGCGTAAAAATATGGATTATATATTAAATAATTATTGATATATTGATAATGTTAGTGTCAGCAAAAGTGAACAACAATAATGATTTCACATAATTATAATGATCTCGTCAGTGTAAGTAATGTGGTAATTAACAAGGAAAAAAGTAACGAAAAAGCTATATATACAAATGTAAAGCATACATATCTAACACACCTCCAGTCACTATGGCCGAGTGGAGAATTCTAGTCTTTATCAACATCTATACAGATATGTTAGTTATTTACTTATTTGTGTATACCAGTGTACTGATGTGGAGAGATATCTTGTAAGTTAGGCGTCCATTTGTTGAATATTTGTGTAAGTTCTTAGACAGTGACTAAGCTACCTTTTACATTTACAGTTGAGACGAAAGCTTGCCGGGGGAAAAAGAACTGTCACCTGTTGCCATTTAAATCTGACGAAGTTTATAATGATAGTCTTGCTGTCAAAATGATATATGTATATAATAATAATAACTGTATAAAAAGTTGCAATTTGAGCTTCCCCAGTGGTCAAACAATATTGCATATATATATATATATATATATATATATATATATATATATATATATTGATATTGATATGTCAGTTGATTGTTTTACTGTAAAGTTAGAGATACTCATAATACTGCCGTATGGTAAGTTACTGCTGTGGTGAGTTTTAAGCTGAAGTGAGGCATATATATTATATTATATTTATTAAGAAGGTGACGCCAAGCGCTCTATGCATGATCCCCTACCAGGCTGAATAAGCACAAGTCTATTTACACTCTTAAAGCTCGACACCAGTTTTGTTTGCTGTGGTCCCACTAAAGTGGATCTCGTTTTCCCTACTTGGGTAAAAAATGGCGCATTTCCGCTCTTGTTAAGATGGCTTGACTTAGTACACCTGGTCTAACATGGGACATATATGACTTCTATGTTAAGTGGCCAGTCTGGTGGTCCTGGGTTGCCCCACCCATCAGCATTATCACTGAGAGAGGAAAGTTAGTGCTGTTAGATTGCCAAGTAATAATCACAAAGTCTGCTGAAATAGTATGAACCCAAATTGAGCCGTCATCACTTGACTTGAAATGCGGCTTTTGTTTGCTCAGCCCACAGCTAATGTGTTATACCCTATTAAAAGTATTGTTTCCCTCCCCTCCCCCACCTTGACTTCCTTTCAGGGGATATTATGTGACAAAGCCCCAAATTGCCTTTTGATTTGTCTTCTGTTTTCATGATACAGCAGCTTGTTTTTTTCCCCTTTCCTTTGGCTACTTATTATGCTGTACACTAGCAATAAGACACTTGAATTTTGTGAATGGTTCAAGCTTTATTTAAACCAAGCATCGGTGGAGCGTGAATTCCCAGTAAGGCATATAAACCACTTCTTCTTGTTTCTTATACAATTCCAATAAAGTCAACATGCCAAGGGATAAACTGATTAAATTTTTTGGTCAGCCATAAAAGAGCTTTAAACTACACCGTCACGTTTTTGGTCGTAAGTGCAGTTTTTGTGAAGTGCTGAAAGAAATTAAACTTGTTTATTAAGGGAGGGACATGCTTTGTCATAATTGTCTTATTTTGTATTCCTTCAAACAAAAAAAAAAGACTGCTTGCTTTTATCCTTACTCTCAGGGTGGGGCTTAACAACAGATTATGCAAAGCAACAGCTGTACAGTGGTCTCAAAAAACAGGTCACATATCTTTATGGCTGTCCTTTTTTTCCCCTCCAGGATTTCAATACCAGTGACCTCATGTTGGTGGCGTGGTCTTTTACCATTACTCATAACTCTCTAGGTCACGCCCCACAATATTTATCTTTTGAGAAATTGGATATCATATAGAGCCTTGATGCTTGCTTGATGGCATTTATCCTGTCATTTTCTTTTCTTCTACAAAGTTCAAAACTCTCCCGTTAACACCCTTTTTTTGTAATATAGTAAGTTCGTGACTTTTAACTTTGATATATATTTGGGGGTGTGTGTGATTATAAAGGGTGTGAAGGGAAGGCCATTTTTTATTATTATTGCCAATAACTTTAAATAACCAACTGAAGGTGAAGAAAATGGGAACTATTTGATCATTTTCTTTTAGTTCTTCACTCCTATTTTTTCAGCTGTATGATTTCAGCAACTTGATTGAGGTAAAAATAAAAAATTTAAACCACAATATTTTCATGACTGTATGTCACTTTTCTCTACCTTCTTGCTTAATCCAGCATAAACTTTGTAAAACTGAAAGGTTGAAATTTCACCAAAAAAAAAAAGAGTTTCAAATACTTAACATTTTCTTCCGGTGATTTAGATAATCTTAACAGCATATTTGCATGTGCTAGATTGAATCTAAACCCTCACTTCAATATCATTATAAGGTAGAGAATTATATATTAAAGCAGGGATGTGATCAATTAGAAAATTACCTAATTTCTGTGGATTTTATTCAGATCCAGCTCAATCCTTGCTGGAACTGGTTTATAATAAATCTAAATTAATGTCTTAATTTTCAGACTTAAAATTTAGTGATTAAGAGGAGGAATACCTGCGCAAGTGGTTTGTTAGTTGCATTGTTAAGCCTAATTGGTGTTATATATGATATTTTATATTTGTATGGGTAAGATATATTAATTTCTTCTCATGACCTATCTCTGGTTACCTTATTTACAAATCTTTCATTGCACTTTCCTAACAATAAACATAACTGTGAAAAACCATAACTGATTGATTAATATTCTATACAAATTGCTTCATAAAGTGTGACAAAGGCATGTATAACTATTATGTTAATATTATAGTCCAGCCAACATATTTTGGCATCTTAACTGGATTTAACCATTTGAAAATGCCATCTCACCTATTGTCTGGCAGTTTTTTTAACCCCGTTAACTTCCTTGTTGATTTTCATAATGTCTTTTGGCTTTCTTCCTCCACTATGTATGCCATCTTAAGAATATGCTTCTGATGTCAGTCAACCAACTGAACAAATGAACTGGAAGTATTGACTTTCACAGTTAAGAGAAATCCATAGGAATCAATTTGCCCTCAGTCACCATTTACTGCGATGGGCTCGGAGGACTCTCCGTTAATCATGTACCACTGGCTGGTCTTGGGTCTCTTTCATTTCTCCTGCGCTGATATCTACGGTGCTGTAGGCCCCATCGCTGGAGCTGAAGAAGCTCGTTCTCATCTCGGGGTCACTGTTGGGACTGCTGGGAATGTTGGTGCGGAACGCTACCCCTGGCGGTGTGCGTGGGGGGCTTGGGGGCACCACCACCGGTGCGTCTGGAATGTCCTGGTGGACTTCAGCACTTGTTGTGTCAGTGCCATTGGTGGACGGAGGTGGAGGTGGCGTCTGTACTCGCTTGTTCTTTTTCTCGACGGTGGCGTACAGGTCCTCAGGGGAGGTGCCGCTTTCTTTTGTCGATTTCCTATCCCGATGAGGGTGGAAAGAGTCAGGTCTGATCTCCGTCGGGTACTCTTCGAAATAAACGGGTCTTCCGTCTATCCAATAATGACCCTCTGGGACTGGGGACCGTTGACGATGGTAGTCCTGGGGAATAGAGTATGCGTACCTAACACTGTCGTCTGTATGTCTGTAGGGCTGATAGTATGGCCGGCCCATGTAGCCGTATATCTCATCTTCGTAGACTGGGATCAGGTACATGCGTTGTCCACCTCGCCCCTCTGGCATAGCAGACGGTGGGTGCCTGGAGAGTGTCCTGACCCCTTCGCTGCCCTTCTCCATCATGGAGGAGTGACGGCTTATTTCGCTACCCTCCCAAGAATAGCGGGTATCGTAGTAGCTCTCAAAAATCTCACCTTTCTTGTGGGGTTTGAAATGGCGCAGTTCCCGGTAGGCGATGGAACAGGCTTCCACCAGGGCGAAGGCTACATCTGTGTTCCTGCACACAAACGGGTAGCACTCCAGCTGTTTGTCAGCTGGCGTGATTCTCTTCATGATTAGAGCAAACAGTGGTGGGTGGCCATTGTCTGCTTTCGCCAGGGGGCTGTCAAGGTTGGCGAAGATGGGGTGGTCGGCCCCATCCCCCTGATACCTGTTATTGACATATTTGAGAGCAGCGCACAGGTGGAGGTTAGCCATGGGAAGCCATTCCACCTTAGCAGGGTTCTCCTCGTAGCTGATACGAATGGCGTCGCGGTAAATCAACAGCCTGGCATCATCATCGACGGAGTCCTGCCTGCGCTGGGGACCGTAGCAAGACAAAAGTGGCTTCTGGATCATGTTGAGCTCCTCGGGGCCGATTGAGCCACCTTTTGGAGGATCGTTGACCTTGACCTTGCCCAAAAATCGTACCCTGCAGCGGGCCAGTGGGTAGAACCTCAACGCATTCTTAGAGCTCATGATCAAAATGTGGTGAAAGTTACCTGTAGTTCTCTGTTAATGTTCCCAGGAATGTTTGTGCCTATTAAGTGCAGCCAATACTCCAAAGGTATTAGAAATGCACAGTGTGTTGTAATGTGATCAGGTAGCACTGACTGGGTTTTTAATGTTACTTTGCCAGGGGAAAAAAATCAATACCTGTAATTTTTCTGTGTAGAGTTATATGAGGACGAAGCTTGGGTCTCTCCTTTCTTTTTCCTCTCCTATGACAGTTTCTCTAAGTCATTCACTGAAGAGAAAATTGATGTCTTGATCAATCTGAAACTGAGTTTTTTTTTCACAGGATCCCTTGTAACCAGGCTTTATGATATCCCAAGGCTCTCTCAGTAAGCCTGCTCCTGGTCATGTACTTTATGTTGAAGAAACGTCAAGGATTACCAGCCACTGAGTCCTTGACAAACACGGCCTCCACTGAAAACCCCACCCTTGTCACCAGTATCCGCCTGTTGAGTTGAACCGGGCGGGTGTGTTTTTCTATGGCAAGAGGACCGGGCCTGGTTAAAAATACTACCTCCTTGTTGGCAATTGTCAAACAAATTATTCTCCCCACACATTGTGTGTGTACGGGGAGGGATCACAGTAATTGACCTGACCCCACTCGTGTTCACCAGGTGGGGCTTGGGCAGTGTAATCCACTTTGTCGTACACCTCAAGCTAAGGCGGGGGACCCATGGTAGCTACATTGTGCCCTGAGGCATGGATAGTTGTGATGTTAGTGCTCACTGTCCAGGTACACTGGCCTTGCAGGTTGGAAATTGTAGCCATTAGAGGTGGGGGGTGCTTTGAACGGGAAGTGTGAAAGTAGAAAGGGGGAAAGGTGCTTAATTATAGTAATTATTAATATTGGTCAGGGATTTTGTTTCCCCTACTTTACTGACCTGGTGTATGTCTTTATTAAGGAGGACAGCCTTCGGGTGGAGAAGACTTTAATACCCTGGTCTCACGTCATGCCAGGGATGTCCTGGCAGACTCTGGAGATCCATTTGTCGTGTGACCTGTCATAGAGTGTGTTGTAAAGACAGTTTTGATTTCTCAACTTTTCTATAATGCTACCCAACACTGTAAATGGGAAGGGGGGGGTGGTTCAGCTTGGTATATTATGATGTACCTCAAGGTTTTGGTGTGTGCTATTTGTTTTGTTAATGTAAGTGCCTTAAAGAATGTGTTCCAGTGAATGGGTGCACACATTTGCTACATTCACTTTTACACAAAGGAGCTTGGCTATGATGTAACCAGTGGATTCAGCCAGGATTTATGTCTCTCTTTCTGTTATGTGAAATATTACGGTTCATATCACAATGGGGTCTTTTTTTTTTCTTTTGATGTCAGTTCTTCAGGCTCTGGCAAGCATATAGAATTTTCGGTTGTGGATAATATATTTGGCTAGCAGCAATGGATAATGTTTTCATTTTCAACTTTTAAAAGTTAATTTTACTCCTGTGCCATTAAGAAAAGATTTGAGCTCAGTCTTTTTTTTCTAATTGCCTTGAAAAAAAAAGGTGTGCTAAAGTTGAGGCTTTATCGGGTCTATGACGTCAGATACTAACGTATCCTGTTTTGAGTTATGCAGTTGCCCATTGTACATGCACAATTAAGCTCTACCTGTGTCTATTGATCGAGTCACTATTTCAATATTGATCATAACTTTGTGCGTTACACTAAAGGTTTTCATTCTGGCTCTCTCTTGCATGGCTACATTAGCATAATGGTCAGTTTTTATGTCGCCCCAGACTAGTTTTTTTTTTCTTTTCGTGGTTTCATTTTAGGCGTATCTGTTGACACCTGTGGATGTCTTGTTTATGGTAATTGTTTCCTTAATTTGATTCCCAATTTTCCAGCTTCGTGTCCCAAATCAGTTTTATGTTAGTAATTCCTAGAAAGGAAGAATTGAAAGTTAAGAAAATTATTATTATTATTATTGTTATTGTATTCAGCAGTTATATTTTTGAATTATGGGTAGCTCAAATAAAAAATCTATGAGGAATTTGAGATTTTTTGATAGATGGGTTTGAATTGGTGAGAAATTACAGGAACAGTAGACCCTGGGGTCCGGATGCTAAACTTTTTTTTTTGTTTGTTTGTTTTTTTTCATGGATAGGATTTTCCCATTTTTTGCACTGGCAATGTTTTTTTTTCTTGTGATTCAGTTATAAATGAAATCAAAGCTATGAAAATAATTAAATTTTTATTAATAAGTTTTTCATGCTTACAGCTTTAATGTATGAGAAGAAAACTTGTGAAGTAACAAATTATTGTGAAAAGGGGGCAAGGAAGTTGATTTGTTCTATGTTCTATATCCTTTCTTTCTCTTAAAGATATTCAACATTGTAAAATGTCTTTTTGCTGTTTGTGTTAGATTCAAGGATCCCCTATGCTTGAGCAGATTTATGGGATACCATTTTTCATGAGCATTATTATTACTATATTTTTCAAAAAGCTCCACATCAAGAGAACAAGTCTTGGATCTATCTGATATTGTATTGTGTTCCCAGTATGTGGCTATCATTTGCAGGCTTCCTTTGTCTGAGTCATTGTTGGTACCTCTGAAAGAAAGTCCTCAAGCACACAATATCTTGTATGCTAGATTTTTTTTTTTTTTTTTTTTTTTTTTTTTTTTTTTTTTTTTTTGTCCTGTGTGTGTAGATATATCAAACTTCCTAGCTAACTGTAATGGAAGCACAGGGGCCACTGAAAAGGAAAATAAAACTTAAAAACAGCTAGTTGTTCTAAATTTTCAGACCCAATTAGTCTACTTACAACCAAGAAATATCAGTGATAGTTCACTAAAATGAAATCTTTTGATGATTTATAACAAGGAAAAATAAGGCACTGTTTTATACCAATACTTACTTAATCCTTCTTAAGGCAAAATAAAGCCTTTATTTAATGATGCATTGTAATAAGGGGCTCATAACTCAATGTCAGAAACATTTAAACCAAAATGAAGGCATGGGATTGAGTGCAATCAGCTTGAATGACACACGTCTCGTTTATAAAGTACTGGCGTAATCACCAGCTTTTCTGTATTTTACTCAACACGAGGAGAAGGGGTATCATTCAGTTAAGCTGACTGCACTCAGCAAGAGTCCCCCACACAGTTGGATTGATCTACTTTGACCGATGATGTCTCTGGGAATGTGGCCTTAATGTATAAGGAGTGTATATAGATTAGCCGATCATGTCCAAGCTTGTCAGCACTAGGTGTAATTTTGACATCAGTTTGATCCCAGGACAGGAATGGAAGCAAAACATGAGCCATATTAATTTTGATGAATGGTATTAAGATAAAGGTTCATTTATGAAGGTAAATTTGTTCAGTCACTCTATAATCAAGCTTGATTTTGTATATTTTATTATTATTATTATTATTATTTTATCTCCAGGTTTGTGAACCATGTAGCCTTCCATCCCAGTGGGACATGTATAGCAGCAGCCGGGACAGACTCCACAGTCAAAGTATGGGACATCAGGATGAACAAACTGCTGCAACATTACACTGGTCAGTAAATGATTCTCTCTCTCTCTCTCTCTCTCTTTGTTTTTGTGTGTGGAGGTGTCAGATGAAAACAAAATGCTTTCTTGAATCAGTGTTTTATGGCATTGATTTCACTTCAGAAGCATTTTTTTTATGGATTTTGAAAATAATTTTATTTATTTTTTATTTATTTACATATTTATTTCACGTTAGATAATTATTTCTTTATGTACTGTAATCGTCTACTATGTATATTGCATTTTAGTATTTTAGGAGGTGGATGTGTTTTGCATTTTCAGACTTTATCCAATAAATAAAACCCATAATCAATCGTATCATATATTCACTACAGCTCACACAGCACCTGTGAACAGCTTGTCATTTCACGCCAGCGGCAACTATCTCATCACTGCCTCCGATGATTCTACTCTCAAAATACTGGACCTGCTAGAAGGAAGGCTCTTCTATACTCTTCATGGACATCAGGTAATCACAGAATTGAGTGTGCCGCGATGACCATTGGCCCCCATGAAGCCAAAGTACCAAATACAGTTGAAGATTAGCCTCTGTCAAACACTGAATTTGTTACATTACTGGCCGCGGTATCTGCTTAGAGTTAGTTGTTTGTTATACCATAGTGTTATAAATGGCTAGCAGGTAGAAAATTAAAAAAAGAAATTGGCACAGTGGTTTTGTATTGAAATCAAATATATGTGTCACATTTGGGCTACTTCTCTCAGGGTGTGCTTGGACTACTTAACATAGACTTCCTTGTGAAAACCCCATTTGTACTGAGTAAGTTTGACAGGCTGGTGCCGTGGATTGAGATGTGCAGAGTTTACTTATTTACCTTTAACATCCTTGTTTTGTATTAGTTTAGCAGTGATTTATTATCCTTCCCTATGACTTAAAATTACATCTCAGTTTTCATCTTTAGATTAGTAAAATGGTTGTTGTAAAATGATTTCCCCCCCCCCCCAAAAAAAAATTTTTGTTTTCCATTTAGTGCCTTTGATTTTATCTTATTTACAAAGCCATCTGAATGTCTAAATCACATGGGAAAGTAAGTGTAGATATGTATCAGAATATGTGTTTTTATAATACAATTCTTTCAATTAAAAATATTTTCAGATTGACATGACTATTTTAAGTCTACTACCGTACAGTGTTTCAATCTCATTCTGTTCCCTTCCCCAGGGCCCTGCCACTGCTGTCAAGTTTTCACGCTCCGGCGAGTACTTCGCCTCTGGTGGCTCAGACGAGCAGGTGCTCGTGTGGAAGACCAATTTCGACCAGGTGGACTACAACGAGGTGCTACAGTCACACCGGCGGAGAGAGTTTGTGGATCCTCCTCCCCATGTGCACGACATCCCTCCGCGGTCTCCTCATAGATCTCCAGCCAGGCCAGCTGCACCAAAGGTATCCAGGACTCCGCCACATATCACTGGGTTCCCCTGCAAAAATTTGTCTCATTAATGCTCGCTAACGGTTCTCAATCTGTCCTAGACCATAATGTGTTTCTCTTTTAATGAAAAATGTTCTTAATCTGTTGTAGGACATTCTGAAGGACTTCCCAAAAACAGTTCCAAATGTTCTAGAATAGATTAAGAACCGTAAGTGAATGTTAAATGAGACAAATTTTCACAGGGATTATTAGCTTGGACGCTGTATTTAGGCCTGCGTATAATAAGGGTGCAATAAGAACAATTTGCAACACTGACTAATAGATCCTCAGTTCAGATATGCTATCCATCATTTGTAACAACATCATCTTAGGACCCTTTCAGAACAAGTTGATCCACTGGCTAATACAGGGCTTGACATTAAGGGTGGCCCACTGGCCCAAAAAGCAAGTATGCCATGTGTCAAATCATCCTGCACTATTTACCGATATCTCGGACCAGTATCAAAAAAAGTTAGTGTCAAGCCCTGTAACAGATCTGTGGATCCAATGTGACCCACCCACTTAAAAGGTATGCCACCCGATCCCCTAATGGACTCCCTGCAGGGGCAGAGCAATAAAATCTCAGATCGAAGTTTATAAATGTGATTGCAATTGAGTACATGTGCATTTGGGTTATGAAAAAGAAGAGAGCGTAGTTTTGCTGTTATATCAGTACACAGCAGTTTTTCTTTCTCTATTCAGTTAGATGCCCGCGCAGGTTTACGCAATATGTCAGACATACCGCCAGGTGTCACTGATGTTGGTCCTGCCCTGTTCTCTCAACCACGGGTAATAAAAATATTCCTCCTCTTCCATCTTATAATATTAGCTAGAAAAGAAGTTTATAGTCAACAACATTTTTTAATCGAAGTCATGCCTGAATTTGAGCATCTAACTAACAGAGACACCTAGATGACAAATTGTGTTTTGCTGCCATCTATCTTAACTTTTTTTCCTCGTTTAAGATAAAATGCTTTCTTTTTTATATACATGTATCTAAAAAGCCAATAAAAGACTTATTTATATCATGTAACTTCATGGTTGTATTTACGTGACAGTACATCTGAAGACACGAGTTATCCTCTCCTTTCAGAATACGTCGCATGATGCAACGGTGGGCCTTGGAGACTTGGAGATGACGTCAACAGACAGAGCCATGCGGGGCGACACGTCTTCGTATCCCTCTGGTACTCAGCCACTTGAAGCCCAGTCTTTACCACCTCAGCTCAGTAGCACACTAGAACATATTGTAGGACAGCTTGATATCATAACACAGGTAGGTTTTTCAATTTTATTTTTATATTTTCTTTTTTAACAAAGGCTTTTCTGGTCATGTTCAGGTGGAACTAAGACCCCATTCTCAGATTATAGGCTGGTAAAACTATTGCTACTGTAGCTAAAATGCCGGGAAAAAGACTCTTATGGACAAATTTGATGTTAAACATTTAGATGTTTTGAAAATAATATTTGCTATCAGACATAGCTCTATTCCCAACATATAGGTTTAATATTTCTGAAGTTGTCGATTGATTAACTAAGCCAAAGTCTGATTTTTGGCATTATATGATATTGTCCATACATTGGCAATGCAAGCAAAGTTAAGGCTTTTGTTTAAGTGCATAGTCTACAGCTTGCATTTCAGTTTGAAAAGAAGTTTTTGTTGGAAGTCTCACAAAAGAACTGAATGACTGAAATATTGTATTTAGAAATAAAGACAACTGTTTGCTGTTATTTACATGTAAATTGCTATTATGGACGAATAATTATTCTTTTTTATTCTTTTTTTTTTCTTTCATGTAGACTGTGTCCATTTTGGAACAACGACTGACAATGACGGAGAACAAACTCCGTGAAGTGATAGACAATCAGCAGAAGATCACGCTTCAAGTCAGACCTAACGACTAAATTGTTCCAAAAATGAATGTGCATGGCGTTTGTTTCAAGTATATATTATTGTATGTCAGCACGGCTGTCCAAGTCAACTGTTTTTTAAATGAGCAAGATCTGCAGCGTTTGTTCAGCTTCAGTTGCTGACAGGGTGTTTTTTATTTGGATACAAGGAAAAGGTGTGTGTGTATAAATATAGACATCTTGTGTCTGGGAGTAAAATATTAATACCAATGTAAAAGTCATGAGAAAAAGGGAATGCAAGCATTGTTTTTGCGTATACTTTAAAGAAAGAGAGTAATTTCTCAAAACTCACTGTAAATATGGACTATATAGATTGTGTATTTAATATTGTTGTAAATATTGTTGGTAAGCCTAGAGAGTTTGTACATATTTCTTATATATAAGAAAAAAAGTCTGGGAAAATTTTACTTACATGATGCTCTGATAGGATGTGAAATGTTCATTATTTTGGGGATAAATATGAAATGCCTGTTACATTGAGGAGGCAAAGGCAGTCATTTAGTGGTATGGGGTAAAATAGATTTGGATCACCTATTTTATGTTTTCCTTATTGCTCAGTATTACCACTAACTTTTTTCTTCAATTTCAGGATCTGTATAAAAATCTTTTTGGGTCAATTTTTGGGTTTTGACTTGCAAAAGTAAGAGTCATTGCCCTTTATCACCGTTTTGAAAACCCTTGCATGAATCTAAATTGTGCTATATATTTTAACATCAAATGTAGAATTTACTTAAATTTTCAGACTTTTTACTGTTTAAATGTCAGTGTGCTAAACATGACATATTTAAACTGTATTATGCTTATCAGTTACAAAGCTAGTTTTATTTTAGTAAAAAAAAAGATCACATCATCACTCGTAACATAAAATATGTAAATAATGTTAATGTATTTTCTTTAACTAACTAGAATTGGGGGTCTGTTTGCTCAAATAAAATAGATCCTGCTCTGCTACCTTCTATTAAGATATCTCCATTTTCGTTCAGAATCTCGGAAAACGATACCATATGATCAGCCAGACAGTAGAAGCCAACCTTGGCACATTTCTGTTCCATTCTTTTAGGTGGTTTTTCTGCTGAGCTGAAGACTGAGTGACATTCAAAACTCTACAGAGCTTATTTTGTTTTATTTGGGAGAACAGACCTATAGACTGTGATAGAAAAGAAATAAGAATTGCTCTTAAATTGGAATATTCTCTGGAAAATAAAGCAGCGGGGAAGTTTCAACTATAAATTTGTTGTTATTCACCCAAACTCCGAGGTTTTTTGTCATTCTGGTCAATATGAGAAATTGTTCCAAAACGCCATTTGTTTGAATGACCAGGTTATTCAACCCCTAAAAAAGACGTGGCCCCTATCATGCACGCGTGCAGAGAGCCCACGTGTGTATGTGTGTGTACAATCACACGAGTTCTCACTGCGGATCAACAAGATCGTGGTGCCAGAAATTTTGCCGTAGCTCAGTTGTTTGATATATAACATTACAGCTTATTGTACTGATATCAAGCATGGCTTCTTAAGCAATCAATTCAATCAATTTATTTTATTAAAGTCTCACCCATAGATACAATTAAAAACAATAAAAATTAAAACAGTCATCAGGCAGTTCTATACAGAGAACTATGAGAGACTAAAAGAACTAATTACAGTTTAAATACATAAAATTTCTTCTTAATCCTAAGAAAAGGCTACAGGCTTTGGCAGTGCTAAAAATCATTTTTGGATCATCAATCAGGGGCCGTATTCTCAAAACTTTGTAACTTACAACAATTTGTAACTATTTACGTGAATTTGTAACTTTGACTTACACGGTATTCTCAAAACTCTTGTAAGTCTCGGACTTACAAACTCTTGTAACTTTTCACGTAACTTTCCGGAAGTGACGTTTGGTCCATGAATAACCCGCATCGACGTGTTTCACTGCCGTGCTTTGCGGCGATAAAACGCTTATCTAGACATAAAAGTCTCTTGAAATGTATTGAGAATCATTCAAAAAGACGTTTCTTAACATTTTCTTACAAGTTTTCGTCGGAAAATTCACTCATTTTAAATGTGCTTCCTCCGACATGCGAGCTCAGAAATCGGACTTGGCTCCTCTTGTGGGATTCCCCCAGCTGGGATTCCCCAAGTTTGCAGCTAGCAAAAAGCACTTTATTTCANCTGGGGCCGTATTCTCAAAACTTTGTAATTTACAACAATTTGTAACTATTTACGTGAATTTGTATCTTAGACTTACACGGTATTCTCAAAACTCTTGTAAGTCTCGGACTTACAAACTCTTGTAACTTTTCACGTAACTTTCCGGAAGTGACGTTTGGTCCATGAATAACCCGCATAGACGTATTTCACTGCCGTGCTTTGCGGCGATAAAACGCTTATCTAGACATAAAAGTCTCTTGAAATGTATTGAGAATCATTCAGAAAGACGTTTTTAACATTTTCTTACAAGTTTTCGTCGGAAAATTCACTCGTTTTGAATGTGCTTCCTCCGACATGCGAGCTCAGAAATCGGACTTGGCTCCTCTTGTGGGATTCCCCCAGCTGGGATTCCCCAAGTTTGCCGCTAGCAAAAAGTACTTTATTTCATTAAATTTACAATGAAAACGTGTGTGAATATTTCTTACAGTAAGTAGCTTATAATAAACACTCACCATATTGTTCAAATTTGATACTTGCTTGGATTTCATGCTATCTTAGGATACCAAAGCCACACAAATAAGTTCACACAATTCCTCTCTCTATATGGCATTCAATTAGATATAAAAGTGTAAATTTTATTTCAATATATAAACTTTGTTATTAAATATGAGTGAGTATATTTGTTTTTTTTTCTATGATGAAGATTTAATAAATGATATCTTCATGTTAAGCCACAAATAATCACACAAATTAATTCACACAAATAAGTTGGACCAACTTTTCAAAAATGACATTCAATTTAATATGAACATGTTATTTTAAAATAAAATTGATAACTGTGATCAATTAATGGGTGTTGGTATAAAAGTGAAAATATTCTTCCCGTACACCTTTGTTGTTACCATAAAGTCAAAAGAGTGAGTATTTTTTAATGTCAGTATGAAATGCACATTGTACTGGTACAAATGAACATGTACCTACAGGTTGGCTAGTATAAGCAGTAAAAAATTGAAAATAAAGGATTCTGTAAGTAAATAAAAACATGATTATAATAATAAATTTGGTAACTGATTACTCAGTCACATTTTCAATAATTTTAGGTATTTTTTGTTTCATATATTATCTACTAATTTACACTCACTGAAATTTAAAAAATATTCTTTCCTTCTGGATTTTTTTACCAACAGTTGTCATATGAGATGTAAATTCTTTACAAGTGCCTGTGTTCTTGTTTTATTTCACTGCAGCTGAGACTTACAAAACCTTGACAAAGACTCATTTTAGGTGCATGAAGGCAGTAATTCACAGGAAGGGGAGATATTCCTTTTTGGACATTATTTAATTTCTATTTTTTAATGTTTCATCACCAGTGTGTATAAAATTTAATTTAACTGATATATTACTTCCTCTTTTCTTTGTTATAGAAACTTATGAGTGACTTTGCATTGCCCTCAATTGCATTTAAAGAGTCCTTGAAAAGCAACTGAATTAGTCTCAAAATTCTTATAAAATCCTTGAATTTGTTATTAGTGTTCATGTATGAACCTTGACATTGCACACTTTAATCATAGAAAGTTACACAAACATCCATGATAACTCACAAACAATTAAAATAAAAAGTGAAAGGTAATGATTATCCCTAAAACTGACTTAAGAAAAAAGAAAAGAAAATCTGTTCTGTGACTACAAATTACAAGCCACGGCTGAAATATATTTCATAGCGAATATAAGATGTTTCTATTTGTTTACTCAAATTAAACAAACCAGTTTCCTGAAAATAGAGGGAAATTCACTGTACAGTGCATGCAATTTTAGTTTCAGCCATAACATGATGATAAGAAATACAAAATACTTCTTTATCCAAAACAAAACCCAAAATAATTCCTAATGAGCGATATATGATGGAAAGAGACATAATCTTGTGTGTGCATGTATGTGTGCATGTATGTGTGAGTGCATCATAAAAGAGAAAATACAGAAAAAAATGATAAGCATTAAAACTTTCAGTTATTATTATTGTTATTCATTATTATTGTAACAAGACTAGATCTAAATATTTGTATTCTTTGAGGAACTTAAATAATGAAATATACTTATTTCTTTGGCAAAAAGTTTTTTTTTAATTTTAAAATTAATATGGTATATATTGGTTTTACTTTCCCTTATCTTAGAACTGCAGCAAGTAGATAGGACTATGCAGGAATTATATTTTGCAATTGCAGTATGAAATCAATTTAAAAATGAAACAGTAGCAAGAAAACAGCTATAATTGTTATGATCAAAGTGCAATCTAAGCAAGTGTCAGTTTACTCTAAATAAGAATTTACTCTGTAACTTTGTAATAAGTACAATGTTATATAAGGAAAGCCATAAGTGGAATACTATCAAAAATGCCAATATGTACAATATTTTACTAACTCACACATTACTAGTATGTCTTTTTTGGTATTTAAAACAGTTTTAAGTCATTTGTTTTTTCCATCAATGATAATTATCTCATTATTTGAACTGGACCTCCTTCATTTAAATGGATAAACCGAGCCATTTAAATTAGTTAAAATACTGTTTAAATATCTAAAATCACCCGAAAGTAGATGATAAGTCATTATTATCATCATTGAACGCTGCCAATCCATTATTATTTACAGAACCTACAAAATAAAGTTAATGAAACTTATGTATAGTTTTAAATGCAGCCATCAGCTGATCGAGGTCACCATGACGTGCCGAAAAGGGGGTCAACATTTGCAACTTTTTATCTACACGTTTCTATTCCTTTGGCAGCCTCTCGATACTTTTTGATACATAGTGTGCAGTATATCATTTTAAAGCATTTGAAATGTACTTTTTGGTGATGTAGAAGGCATATATTTTCTCCACCACATGTATGGAATAGAGGCATAAGAACCTGAGTCAATGAATTGGAGATAAAAATGGCGATTTTCAGACACACCTTCACGACAAAATCTCACAGAAAATTTGTAAATAATATAATGACAGCAAACATTATACATCAGTTAAAAGATAACTTTTTTCCGAACAAAACTCCATCTATTAACCTCGTTTTTTTAGTATAATTTTAATTTATTCACTGACTAAACATGTATATTCATCCTAAAAAAGTCGGAAGCTTCAGAAACTGAAATTCAACCGTCGTTCAATTGATTAATCTTGGCTAACAACTAAAGTGTTTTATATCGCCAAAAAGCTCATTAACTTGGCTTTCTCACAACACTAGTAATTCTCTCACATTTTTTATAAAGTATCAGTTTTCATTTTAGTTTAAAAATTCGGACACCCTGCCAAGCTGCCATGTTGCCATCGCGCGATCGATAGAAACGTATTTTTCTCATCTAAATCGTTAACTTTAGGCAACTAACCTGAAATATCCGAAAGGCTAACCTTTCTCGCTGATAATAATACATCCAAAGTTAAATAATTTTACTTGCTGTCAAAAATATCCGACAATAAACACGAGCATAAAATTCCCGCAGACAACACTTTCTCCCCGACTTTTCACCAAATGCGCATGCGTACAACTTTTTGTAGCGACTTACAACAGCTCGGAGGCAGTTGTAAATTTACGTGCATATTTACAAGAGTTTGTAACTTACAAACCTTCGAGAATACCAACTTACGTGAACGATCGGACTTACGTGAAAAGTTACAAGAATTTGTAAGTTACAACCTTTCGAGAATACGGCCCCTGGTCAATATGAGAAATTGTTCCAAAACGCCATTTGTTTGAATGACCAGGTTATTCAACCCCTAAAAAAGACGTGGCCCCTATCATGCACGCGTGCAGAGAGCCCAC